GGAAGGAACTCCATGGCTCATGTAGTCCAACCCCCCATGCAAGAAATCCCCAATGTTTACCTTAACTCAAATCACATCCTGTTCTTCTCCAGTCTTTGACTTTCACAGACTCAAGTCACAATACTTAAAGCACAGTGGTCATTTTCCAGAGGTGAGGGGGTGGCACATGCCTGCCTCTTGCTCTTTCAGAGTTGTCTCCAGTTCTGTGCTCCCTGGACGCCAAACTAATATCTGGGCCCAAAGCAGACTAAAATATGGTGTAATTTCCTCTGTGCATCCTAGAGAGTACAAGGGGCCTTTTATCTTTAAAATGTTAATATTGGGGGCAAGAAAGATACCTGATTTTTAGGGGATCTACTGCAGGGAGGGGGCAGCCTAATATGTTTTGCAGTCTGAAGTAAAAGATAAGATGGCATCCTCTCCCTCCTGTGTACAGTTGCTGAGTGAACGATCTTATTTCAACCCTGATAATAGAGATAAAGTCCTCCACCACACTAGAGGGCAGCAGACTACTTGCAAAGGTCAAATGTACATTACAGACAGCTCTGTCCTCCCACAAAAGGGAATGGCAAGCTCAAAGAGAACAGCAACATGGTCACCACTCTGCTTCCTAGTATTTACGTCTCACTCTGCTTAATAGCCAGGCTAGCCCTGGTCCTGGGTTTATCAAAGTATATATTTACTCCCTGGGTGTTGCATTCAATTCTGCTTGTATTCCAATTTTGTTGGGGAACAGGAAAGTGACAGAACTATCATTAAACCTAGGAAAAATACAGTGTACAGTAAACACGGCTTCATTTATTTATTGCATTTCTATTGTGTTTATACCCCATAAGAAAACCAAATGTATTTCTTTGGTGTTCTATTTCCCTAGCTAGATAGGGCTACCAATAGATAAACTGCAGAACTGTAGTTACAAAATAAAGCGTTGCTGCCATCTAGTGGTAAAATATGCTTTCAACAACATTCTCAAACCTCCCTTCTAAATTTAATCTCACCAAGGTACTGCCAATCTGGTGCTGGCTGGGAACACTGGTAGTCTAACACTGTCGTTCTCAAACTGGAGTTCCCAGATGCTCTTGGACTGCAGTTCCCAGAAGCCTTCACCACTTGCTGTGCTGGCCAGGATTTCTGGGAGTTGCAGTCCAAGAACATCTGGGGACCCTAGTTACACGGGGAACATTGCTAACTGAAGATATTCTATATGACATGCCCACATGTATGCTCACAATGACAGTGTATCGAAGAGGACAAACAAGGAGGAAATGTCCACCAGACAGTGTGGACTCCAACTCCCAGAATCCTCAACCCCCATGGACAACGTTCAGTGATGATCGGAGAGAATGTCGAAAATGTCTGGAGAGACAGACATTGAGAACCAGTCAACTAGAGGAAGGCATTAGCAGCCTTATAGCAATATCTAGGTTTGCAGGAGCACAAGAAACAGCTGGTAATGGTGGGGATCTAAGCCAAGGGGCCTCCTCCCAGAAAAAGGGAACCCGACCCATTGAAGACTAAGCGTGTTTAGCTCCCATTCTGTGTTGCCAGTTTGGGACTTCAGAATGGAAAATCCAGGTTGGTAGAGATGGTTCCTCCAGAACAAGAACACTCCATGCTGCATCATTGAACACAAGGCCCATTCTTATTCATTCATTTGTACATCACTCTGGCCGAAATCCTGTTCCATATAAGGCTAGCTATGTCATCAGCCACAGTGATTTTTTAAAAAATAAACAGTTCTGATCCCCCTGAAAAGTCCTGAGGTTCCCTTGGGATCCGTTTCATTATAAAGACTTCCTCATCTCATGCCACCCAATGGCTTCCCTACAATGAAAGGGATCCCAAGGAAAGTCTCAGGACCTTCCAGGTAGGACAATTGGAAACTTCTAATTTTTGTAAAACTACCATGGCTGCTGATGTTGTCAGCCTTATGGTGGTGTAAGTCCCCTTGCTGGATTTTAGCCTCTGTGCATTACATTCCGTGTGGTCTTATGAGCTAGAAAGGTGTGGAATGCAAATTTCAGCCTAAATCCAATGCCTAGTTCCAACCTAGGTAAATCTACTGAATCACTTCGAGCATCGACTTTCTTTTCAGCAAGTTATCCAATGGACTTACTCTAGCTGAGATGGGTAGAGATTTAGGCCTCTGTATAGAACCGCAAACCTAATTCTCAATGCATTTTAAGCAGAACTGTTATGGATTATGGACTGTTACAGATCAGACATACCTGTAAAACAGCTGGTTATTTCCGTCATGTCCTTATAAAACTCATAGAATTTTGTACTCCTTTATTTCAGCCATACTTTTTAAAAAACACCAAAAAAAAATCTCCCTTTGGATGAAACTATCTGCTTTATGGGTTTGCATATATTTTTTGAACCTTCAGGGAGAAAAGAAGCTGAGTGGACTCAAATAAAAGGTGTACATATAATAAGTCCACATCTTTGGAAATAAATGAGATTCCCCAAACACCGATAAAAAGCTTGTAAACTTGAATCATGTTTCCCAAGACTGGAGTTTCACATGAATATTACCTTCCTCAAAAATAAAACCCATTCATCGGGTGACAAGTGAGGTGTGCAGGGGGATTTTTTTAAAAATGACATCACAGAACAACATGTCAGATAACACATGTATCCCTTGTGTTTTGTGCCTAATCCCAACAGTGCCTGCAGAAGGGAACTGCACAATTTATTTTGTTTGGAATCTCCAGAGACACGACTCAGATCATCAAACGGTTTTTCCTAGCATGACAGAAGTCTGCTAGTGTATTTCAGTCTTGTACGCTACAGAGAGTGAACTCAAATCATGAGATGACACTGCCTAATTCTCCCAACAAACAATATCCTCTGGGAGGTCTAACTTCATGTCGTTTAAGTTAACTTTTCAGAATTATCTACTGTACTGAAGTGAATCAAATATTTACAAACAGTAGTCCATGAAATATTAACTAATCTTGGCAACAGACAAACTTCTAACAGCCAGCCGAGAACCCAAGCCCGAACGGCTAGAGCCTAAAAAGCAGGGTGGATAAAAATCAATGCATTTTTAAAAATCAAATTGATTTAAGTCATGATTTTAAAATATATATATTTTTAATTTTTAATATTTTTAAAATTGAAATTGAAAAAAATCCCATTTTTAAAATTTAAATCGATTTGAGTTAAATCAAATCCACCTTGTCAAAAAGTAATCTTTTCAAACAACTCTTTATTTAAAAACATAAATGTATGCAACACTGTCTTACAATTTTTTTAGTTGTGATGTGTATTTGTAGAAAAGAGCTATTTTTATGAGAAGTCTCAACATTCCATCAATATACATTTTGAATGGTTTTTTCCCCCTAAATAAGCAAATGGACAAGTCCTAGCAAGATGAATACATAGCCTCTTTTTAGATAGCCAACTGGGAGCTTCTCTCTGGTGAAATACAAATAGCTACGTTCAGCATGGTCTTGCAACACAATGTGGACCTTGGGGTAAATCAATGCACACACGGCATCAAGGAAGGACTGGGGTTGATGTCTTGGGCCCCATTCAGTAAAACAAGCAGCAAAGCATCTGTAATGCAAAAAGCCTGACACATTTTAAAGGAAGCAAAGCAATTATACTCTCCCATCTAAACAAAGAATAGGCAACGGGCAATCCATAGTGCAATCTCAGCCTAATTTCAAAAGCTTTGGACAAATAACCACTTTGGGACTGCAAGAATGGTCCATCCTAGAGAAAAAGAGAGAAAAATTGTGCTCATCAGCACTTGGTCCCAATCCCATCCATAGCTGTCATCAATTCCTGCTCATCATTTGACATATTACCCTTGAGGACATGTCAGCCTTGACATTGAAGAACTGCCCACTCTGTTCTAAAGTTCCCATCCACTAGTAAGATCATTAAATGCAAATTATCCAATTGCTCCCATCCTTAGCCAGCTGGGCATAGACAAACACAATCTCTTAGCTCCTGCTACTTCTAACCCCCCAGTAGTGGTGACTGTCTGCCAACTACCATATTTTTCGCACCATAAGACGCACTTTCCCCCCACAAAACAGGGGGGTGGAAAGTTTCTTCTTATGGAGCGAAGAAAACAGATAATATTTTCCTGTTTTCTTCTCCTAAAAAATTGGTGCGTCTTATGGAAAGGTGCGTCTTATGGAGCGAAAAATACGGTATGTGATAACAGCAAGCCCATCAAGTCAAACTTGGCTGAGGGGGAAACAATGAATTTGCTCCTAGCAACTTCATTCTATTCTGCCTGATATGCCTTTCTTTACAAACGTTACTTCCGCTCCATTTTCAGTTAAGAGATATTTCTCCCTTTCATTTTCTGTCTGAGAGCAATCCAAAGGCAAAGTTCCTCACTAAGATAAACGGTATGTACACCTAGTGGTCATCTGCCATGCAACTTAGCCTACATCGTTTATAAGGCACATAGGTTATCTGCAGTAGTTCTCAATAGCTCTGTGTTTCAGGTATCTGGCTGTGGAGCAAGATGTTGGGACTTTGATTCCCTATTGTGCCTCCTGGGAGAAAAGTCAACCTATGTGGCCTTGGGCAAGCTGCACAGTTCCAGGGCATCCCCAGAAGAAGGGAAGGGTAAACCACTTCTGAGTATTCTCTACCTTGAAAACCCTGGAAAGGGTCAGCATAGTTCAGAATTGACTTTATGGCACATAATTACAGCATTTATTATTAAGTTCTCTGCATTCTAGCAAATGTGACATACTAGACATCTGTACTAAGAAGTCAGTCCCAATGAGTTCAGTTGGGTTTATTCCTAGGTAAGAAAGTTGCAATTTTACTGTCAGATCTGTATTTTTGCTCTTCCTATGTGATGGGATGAGGCCAAGAATATTCTCTCCCCCCCATACACATGGAGCAGGTGGGTGTGATACCAATGAACGCTGAATGCATTTGAATTTATTGATAATTAGACTGAAATATTTTCTTCTTTATGCATACATAATTTTTATTTAAATTTGCAACATCTTACATATTCTCAGGCATCCGGCATATCTATTCATCATGGAGAAGGCCAAGACAATGGTTCCGCTTGCTTCCGATTTACCCATGAAGAAAGAGACAGTATGCATTTTCGGAACAGGAGATTTTGGCAGATCTTTAGGATACAGGCTGATGCAATGTGGCTACTCGGTAGTATATGGAAGCCGAAGTCCTCAGGTGTCCGGACTGGTCCCTCAAGGAGCCACAGTGCTGTCTCATGCAGAAGCTGCAGAAATGTCTGATATCATCATTATCGCTGTCCACAGAGCACATTACAGCTTTCTTGAGAGCCTACAGGAAATTCTACGTGGAAAGGTTCTAGTGGATGTCAGCAACAACCTCAAAATAAACCAGTATCCAGAATCCAATGCTGAATACCTTGCCCAGATGATGCCAAACAGTAAGGTGGTAAAAGCATTTAACACTGTCTCAGCATGGTCTCTGCAGTCAGGTGGCTTGGATGCAAGCAGACAGGTAAGGAGATCTGCTGCTTTCCCCTTGGAAAATATAATGATAATCCATTATTATTGCATGTGTCTATCCCGCCCTCTCTCGTGAAAGCCTGGGGCATTCATAATACATTTCATCACTAATTTAAAACCTGTCTGCTTACTCTAGAGGAGGCCCAGTGTTCATGGCTTGCTGTTTCATCTACTGGACTACCAGATCGACTTTAATTTTGCTGCACTGTTCTTGAATGTACATGTCCTGGAAAACTCCAGGTTCAGAGCGGGATGTAAACATTTTAATTCTTCCTCTTATTGTTGTTCTCCTACTGAAGGTCAGATGCCAACATGGCTACGCTAAGTTAGGATATACAAGCTCTAAACAATGATGCTGTGTTGTATCCAGTCCAGTACCCAGAGTTCTTCAGCTAATTAAGTTTTTCTACTTTCTATACTTCTTTATTCATTTATTTTTCCTTAACTTTTTTCTTTTTTTTGCATTTTGTAGGTTTTAGGATTTCCTGGTATTTATTCATTCATCTTAGTACTTATTTGTCAGTTACTCTCTTGATCAAAAAATCCTTATTATTTTCTAATAAATGCACATTTCATATGCTTTTTTAAAAATAGTAGGTGTGTTGAAGACCATGAGTCCATGCCATATGATGGAGCTGAGACTATGTAGCACTGGACAATGCCCATTCTTAAAGCCAATTGAAAGTTTTTGTTGCGTACTACATTCTTTATACTGTATTCACGTTCACTTTATATTCACTTCTTGGGCAAAAGATGGCAACATATAATGAGAAACAAAGGCTAAGATATAAGTTCAATTCCATTTTTCTTGCTCTGTTTATTGTGTTTTAGAAAATGTTAATCTACCCTTCATATGATTAAAACAGACCATAAAACAAAACTTATTAAAGCACATCATGATGGTAGCATATAAACCCATCAAAGACAACACAAGGAAAATGTCACCCTACATAAACTCCACCATACAACTTTTTGAGCTGATGCCGAAAACTCTTGCAAAATTAGCACTGCTTGTGCCTCTTATTTTCCTTCTCTGTATCTGAAAGAGGTGTCTTTAAAAACAGCTTATTGCATGATAAAAGCGTTCCAGACTCTTTAACCCTTGGCAGCTATACTAAAAGTGTATCTATATGCCTTCCCAAAAACAAGACCCTTCAAATACAAGGAACAACATTTCCATCATAGCCAGGATGACCATGCTGGTTGGGGATAATGGGAATTGTATTCCAACGCCACTGGGAAGGCTAGTCTAAAAGTCTTTTTTTGTTTTATCTAATGCTCCAAAGCACTGCTAAGAAAGGGAAACATTTTCAACAGCAGAGATAACTTCAAACTATGGAAATAAGTAGTAGGGTTTTTTTCTCACTGAAATCTACACATCACTGCCTTGGCCAGCATCGTATTTAGCCAAAATCTGAACCATATTTCACCCTTCTAAAAAGATTTTTTAAATGATTGCCATCCCTTGCAAGAGATAAGTGGGTTGGACAGCACGATTCAAGCACCGTCTCTTGCTGAAGTCAGCAATACTGAAAGCAAACATTTACAACAAAGGGAAAAAAATACACAACACTTTACCTTTTTGTATTTTTACAGGTCTTTGTATGTGGAGATGACAACAAGTCAAAAGAAAAGGTGATGGAGGTTGTTCGGAGCCTCGGTCTTACTCCGCTGGATAAGGGTTCTCTCTTAGCAGCAAAAGAAATTGAGAACTACCCTTTGCAACTTTTCCCAATGTGGAAATACCCCATTTATCTCTCCCTTGGTCTCAGTTTGTTCATCTTCATCTACTCAGTGATCCGTGATGTGGTCTACAATCATGTTGAGAAAAACAAAGATTTTGCTTTTTTCATTGTCATCAGCATCCCAAATCGGATTTGCCCTGTTGTCGCACTCATCCTTCTCGCTTTGGTGTACCTGCCTGGGATCTTTGCTGCCATCCTCCAGTTATATAGAGGGACTAAATACAGTCGCTTCCCAGACTGGCTAGACCAGTGGATGCTCTGCAGGAAACAACTTGGTTTGGTGGCCTTGGCATATGCTTTCCTACATGTTTTGTACACCCTTGTCATCCCTATTCGGTATTATGTGAGATGGAAGATGAACTCCTACGTCCTTCAGCAGGTAAGTTGGTATGATGCTCTTTCTTCTCCCAGTTCACCAGCAACCTTGAAAGCTTTAAAAACCCTGAAGGGGCGAAGTGTCACATTCCCAGGGGGGTTCAACAGGCAAAAGTCCAAAGCCAAAACACAAACTGTAGTCAGAGTCCAAAGTCAAAGGTCCAGAGAGCAAGGTCCAAGATAAGCAGGAGCGTGGATGCAAGCCAGAGTGTTGACTTGTGGCTTCCACAAACTTCCAAGCCTCTGGGTGCAGATTTTATAGCAGCAGTCATCTAAACACCTCATCCTGCTAAAACTCAGGGCTGGTCGACCTGACATTCCTATGGGAAGCATTCATGCGATCCTCATGAATCTTTGCCGAAGCGTAGCCCTTACCCTGGCTACTGGGGGAGGAGAATCTGGTGGTGATTCAGCTGTCCGTGCTTCTAATTGCCCAGCATTTTCCTCAGCTGTAATTAACCCCTCAGATTCCAGATCTTCTTCGGCTGAACTCATGACATGTAGGATGAAAGGGAAGGCTGTGAAATTATCAGAAATATATATGGGCTCAAGGCTCAATACTGCTATGCTTAATCCATCTCTGGTGTTCCCGTGCAGGAAACATCTAAGGAGGAATGAGGGAGACATCCCAAACAACATAGCAGGATTGATGAGCTCATAAACCCAGTTCTGATGGTATCACTGGGAGTACACCAGGGTCTAAAACCTTTTCCAGGATGTTCACCCCTGTTTCAGGGTCTGTGTCAATGAAACTATGGCCAGAAAAACAGGAGATGGAATTGGATCCAGTTCAGATGCACCTGTTCAGTGGTGATGACAAATCACAGAAACAAATTGATTTCTTCTTGTAGATTCCTACCTCTGGTTCCTACCTCTGGTTACCCAGATGTTCTTTGATTAAAACTCCCAGAAGCCTTTACTACCAGCTGTGCTTGCAAGGGCTTCTGGGAATTGCAGTCTGAAAACATCTGGGGAGTCCGAAAGTCATGTTCTTCGATTAAAACTCCCAGAAGCCTATACTACCAGCTGTGATTGCAAGGGCTTCTGGGAATTGCATTCTGAGAACATCTGGGGAGTCCGAGAGTGGACTCCAAACTTTGTGGAATTCCCACAGTTGGAACAGATATACAGTACCTCCTGAATATCTGTGTCTCCTGCAGCTCTTAAAGGTAGACAAGCACAGGGAAGAGAGATGATACCAAAAAGATAGTTTTTTAAAAAAGGGAATCTTTGGGGAGGTTGCACAAAATAGGACAATTTGACAAAAGTGTTTCTGAGTGGGAGGTGAATTTTGGGTTTGTGGGGCTTTCATGATGCTCTTCTGCCAAGTGACTTGCATAATAGGCAAACGTTTCACATAATATAAGAAAAACTCCCCATGTTTGAGAAGTGAGGGGAGGGCAATTGTGAAGGAGGAAAAGAGAGAGCAGATGTAGACAGAAAAAGCCATGAGGTGAGGAGGGAAACCAAAGGATTTCCAGTCTAGTAAATGGATAAATAAATCATTAATTCTAATCAATGCAACTTCTCTGTTAGCACAGCAAATATGAGAGGCATGTACAAAAATTGTCCAAAGCCCCTTGAATAATTCCTGACACAAAGCGGAACAGGTGATGACAACCAGTGTGCTGTAGTGTTGGACTCAGGCTTGAGATTCAGGATCAAGTCTCCACTGAGCCAAGAAACTCACTCGGTGACAATGAGCCAGTCACTCTCCACCTCTCTAAGCCTGACGTACTCGACAAAGTTGCTAAGGAAGAGGGCTATGTATGTTACCCTGAGTTCACCAGAAGAATGATGGGATATTTAATGAATTTATGCCTTTTAAATACTGCCTATTAAAAATAACGGGCTTTCTCCCCTCTCCCTTTAAGGCTTTTAACAACAGAACAGATCCACTGAATATCTCGGGGGCCTGGCATAGTGATGCTTACCTTGCTTTAGGTATCTTGGGCTTTTTTTTCTTTGTCCTGCTGGGAATAACATCCTTGCCTTCCGTCAGCAACAGTGTCAACTGGAGAGAGTTTCGATTTGTACAGGTAAGAGATCATGAACTAGCAAAGTGGTTAAAGAAACAGCCCTGTTCCTCACCTGCAACATCTTCCTGACTCAGAAATGAGACCCATCAAATAACGCAATTCTTCCTTTCAAGTATTCTGGCTCAAATTGTTAGAAGGAACACAGTCTTGCTCTCCTGCTTTACCTTACTAGGCACCATAAATGATGACAACAAAGGGGATATTCACAATTTTTGGTCATTCACTATGGCAGGACTTGAGCAATTTATTTTGGACTACAGCTCCCAGGATCCACCACCAGCATGCTATTGGTCATGGTGGCTGTGGAGTCTGGGAGTTGATAGTCCAAAAACCTTATCATGGCCAGGATCTGCACTGAGGTAACATTCAAAGATGCTCTTTCCAGGTTTGCTCACTTTGAGGTATTAGGCTACCTGCTCCAACAATGAGGTCCTTCTCTGTAGTTTCTTCAGAACAATCTTTACAATTCATACATTTCTGTTTCTTCCTCATTTTTCCCCTGTATTTTCTCCTGCTTGCCGCTTGTGATAGTTTTTCATTAGTTGGGTGAACTTTAGAATCACAGACTCACAGAGTTGGAAGATACTCTAAGGGCCATCAAGTCCAACCCTCCACCAATGCAAAAGCATCCGTAACAAGTGGCCATCTAGCTGCAGATTTAAAAATGCCCAATGAAGGAGAGTCCACCACATTCCAAGGCAGTCCGTGCCGTTGGGGAACAGCTCTTACTGCCAAGAGGTTCTTCCTAAAACTTAAACAAAATCTCCTCTCTCATAATTTGAATCCATTTGGATATTACCCTCCTTTTTCATCTTCTAGATCAGTGATCCTCAACCTTGGGCCTCCAGATGTTCTTGGACTACAGCTCCCAGAAGCCTTCACCACCACCAATATTCATGACTTGGGTGGACGCCACAGTCATCTTTTTATCTCTTCTGTATAGATCTCCAGTATACTGCTTCCAACTTTTCTTTCTTTTATCCTGGTCCAATAATGTGTTCTCCTCTTGGTCTTTCCTAATCTAGGGTTAAATTTCTTTCGATTTCTTGAACCTTCTAGAAGAGATCCTTGGATGCTTTTGAACTGCAACTCCCAGAAACCCCAGTCAGGACAGCTGGTGGTGAAGGCTTCTGGGAGTTGCAGTCCAAAACTCCTGAGTAACCCAAGGTTAAGAACCAGTGTTCTAAATGACAGCTCTCCAAATACTAAAAATGGCTAACATATCACCTCTCAGCCTTCTGTCCTGCAGCTTAAATATACCCACCTCCCTTGGCCCTTCTTCATAAGGTTTGGTTGCCCTGGAACCTTGTTGTCATTGTTACCTGCCATCGAGTTGCCTCTGACTTCTGGCGACCAAGGCTGTGGCTTCCTTTAGGGACTCAAATCATATATTTTAGCCATATAATATGTTTTATGAACTGGTTGCACACTTTTTAAATTGCATTTTATATATTTTAGCCATATAATATGTTTTATGAGCTGGTCACCCAACCATAACAAATAAATTCATTCATTCATTCATTCATTCATCTCATGTCTGATCTCCCTCATTTCCTGCTGCCCTCAACTTTTCCTAGTGTTATTGTCTTTTCCAGCAAATATTGCCTTCTCATGATGTGCCCAAATTAAGACAGCCTCAGTTTCATCATTTTTGCCTCCAGGGATATTTCAGGCTTTAAAGATGATATACAGCTGGGGAGTCTATTCTGTGCAAGTATCACTGTGGATGTCCAAATGATGGGTTGGGGGGCAAATTTATTCTTGGCTGTCATTGTGGGCTTCCATAATATATGGGAGAGCAGGTTCCTTTCAATATGGGAAACTAGAGAAGAATCTTTGGAGGCAAACATGAGTGCAGATTTTGGAAATATGAATTGCTTGGATTACAACTTTGAGACCCCCCCAGGCAGCATGGTTGACCGCATGTTGATGAAGGATTCTGAGAACTGTAATCCAAAAAGAAACAGAATGACTGAAGCATTTGTAAAACAGGGAGCAGTGGCTATCGGTTAAGTAAATAAGGAATTAAATACATACTGTATACTCTCACTATTGCTCATTTTATTCATGCCTTCTCATCCAATGCAAAGATGGGATCTGTACCTCATGGTTCTAATTGTTTGAATGTTGTAAACATGGGCATATAGTGTTGTTTACATGCTACAATATCTTAGCAACCACACAGCAGCACATTAAATCTTCAGTTCATCTCAGTCTTCCACTGTCTTGTCCCCTGCAGGTGCTGGCTGGCAATTGCACACAATAGAGTGGTGCCTCGCTTAACGGCGATAATCCGTTCCAGGAAAATGGCCGTTAAGCGAAAACATCGTAAAGCGAAGAGAAAAAAACCAATTGAAACGCATTGGAACCCGTTCAATGCGTTCCAATGGGGTAAAAACTCATCGTCCAGCAAAGATCCTCCATAGGGTGGCCATTTTCGCTGCCTGTACAGCAAAGAATCTGTCCCTAAATACAGCAGGGAACCATTTTAATCACCGCGGCCATTTTGAAACCGCCAATCAGCTGTTCGGAAAATGTCGTTTTGTGAAGAATTGGTTCCCAAAGCAGGGAACCGATCATCACAAAGTGAAATTTCCCCATTCAGACCATCGTTTTGCGATCGCAATTGCTATCTCAAAAAGATCATCACCATCGTTTTGCGATTGCAATTGCTATTGCAAAAGATCATCGTTAAGCGGATTTGTCATAATGCGAGGCAATCGTAAAGCTTGGCACCACTGTATACTATTAAGTTCCCACTGAAGAGAAGGTCCCACCGCACAAGTAACGCAGGCTCATGCTCCAAAACCTGATATTTGCCTGTACAGTTTCTCTGCTGGTGGGGCTTCATAGTCAGAAGGATACTGGCCTATTTCTTTATCACATTTCTATCCAGTCTTTCCTCCAAGACAAAGCAAGACTTTGTGAGGTAGACTCAGGTGGAAAATATGGCTGTTCCAAAAGTCATCGCCACAGCTTTAGTGTTCAATGGTGATTCAAACCAAGGTCTTCCTTGTCCCCAGCACAAAATTTTAACCGCTACAGCATGCTGGCTCATCGCCTTGAGTATCAAGTTGGATTAATGCATTACAACTGCAACTAGAGGAAGTTAATTTGTAACAGAAGCAGAACTGTGGAATGCTCTTTACATACCACATGACAACTTCTGAAATAGTTTAGAGAAGTCACTGTTTATATGATGATCTTGTCTTCTCTCTCCTTCTTCCCACAGTCTTATCTGGGCTACCTCACATTGGCTTTGTGCACTGCCCACACGCTGGGCTATGGTGGAAAGAGGTTTCTGAATGCCGGCACATATCCATGGTTTCTTCCTGCCGTTTATATCTTCTCTCTCATTGTCCCCTGCATTGTGTTGGTCATGAAGTTTTTCCTCATATTTCCCTGCGTAGACAGACCACTGACAGCAATTCGACAGGGCTGGGAGAGGAAACCCAAATGCATAAGCCAGTCAAACAACAATGAACATGCTAGAGAAACATCAGCTGTCTAATCTTTCAACAATGTACTGTACATCTAAGGGAGTGTGTGCACATACATAAACATGAAAGCACCAGAAAGTAGCCCCTTGCAAACTGACAAATCTTATTGGGCATAAGCTTTTGTGGACTTCAGAGCACTTGATCAGATGCTTGGTTTGTGTGCATGTATGCACATCATGTGCATATGCACACAAGCATGCACATGTGGCCAATAGTAAATACTGCATTACTAGTACAGTATAAGAGTAAGAAACTGAGACCACCAAAAATTGTTTTGTAAAAAACCACACTAAATCATTCTAGGAGAAAGACCAACAATTCTTGGCAACAATTCACCAGTGTTCAGTTTCTTTAGTTTCGACAGAAATCTTTTTTGTTATTGTTGTTTTTTGTTTTCACAGTGAAAGAAACAATTGTAGTCTATTTCCTATTTCTACAGAAAAACAAGGAAACCTATATTTTTATGACATCACAAAAGATTATATTAGCCTACATTTAGTTGCCAGTCCCACTTAGAGTCAATCCATTGAATTAACTGTTGAATGACAAGTCAACACTTATGGAAATTGCACACTTGGGACTACCAGTTGGATTGAGGCCCAATGACTATGGATACATTTATAGTCTACGTCACAAGTCATTTTGAACCATGGCTTCTGGTCCTCATCTGAGCCTTTTCACATGCATATTCTTCCTGTAACTGTAGAGGTGGTCCAAGTATTTCAGAAATGGCTATGGCCTCCCTGGTCATGTGTAAACACTGTGAGATAGGAGCTTCTTCAACAACATAAGGGACAATCTGTACACGGATTACACACAGTTGCTTATAGGAACACTCTCTCAAAGAAGGATTTTTTCCCCATTTTGAGGCCCATCATGGTTTTCTGCAGAGTCTGGCTGTATTCTTAATCCAGCAGAATCCTTTTCCTATAAATACACAATTGCTGGACTTTGCCATTCAGGACTAATGCAAACTGCAGCCATGACTAGGAAAGAGAGCACTTAGATGGACACAGGAAACAAGAAGTATATCCCTCTCAAGACTATTCCTGTGGGTTGACTATTAAGAATGTGGTAGATCCCCTTGATTAAATCATACCCCAGGTCCATTGAGCATTACCAATCTCTGCCTGACAGTGGTTCATCCAGAGTTTCAGGAAGAATTGTTTCATAGCTCTTACCTAAAGAAGCTGGGAACTTAACCTGATAATGTCTGCTTCCAAAGTATATACTTTTCCACTAAACTACTCTCCCTTCTGCACGCAGTACCTGGTATTCTCTGGTGGTTTCCCATTCTAAGTACTAAACCAGCTCAGCTATCTAACAGAGAAGAGTCATGAGCTTCTGATTACTCATAAGGCAAATCTATAACAGGCAATTGTTACTCAAGCTTCCTGAAACATGATAATGTCAATTACTACATATTGTTGTATTGTATTTTCTACCATATTTGAGGAAATAAATCTCTTTGTGTAAATACAGAATCTCTATGTATAAACACTGTTCATCAACATTTATATGCTGTGTATTTTTATTGCAATAAAGGCAATCTGTTTTAAGAAATAACCATTTGTTGTAGTGTAAGTTTGTTGTGAACTAAAGCCCATTTTGGCATTTGTTAATCTCAAACGCTGGAATAATTTTTCAACAACGATTTCCAGAATCTGATATTGGCCATACTAGCTGTGGGATTCAGAGAATTGTTACTCAAAAAAATTGTTTTTCCCAGTTTGGGTTTGTTTATGAAACTTATGATAGTACAATTTCTCCTTTATCTCTCTGCACATTGGAATGCTACTGGTACCACTCTACCTGCTGGATGGAAGAACCCATACAGGAAAGTGGAAGTTTCTTCAAATTAGGGATAGAAGGAGTTGTATTAGATGCTTGCTTACTGCAAGCGATAAACTCATATAATTCTCAAACAGCCTTATTCTGCAAGTGTAGCTTGCTTTTGTTTAGGTACTCTCTAAGTCAGAGTAATTATGCACATATGATCTATCATCATCATCTTAGAACTGTACAGTCAGAAAAAACCCTATAGATTATCCAATTCCTGTCAAGGAGGCACAGTGGGGAATTGAACTCCCAACCTCTAGTTCCGCAGCCAGATACCTAAAGCACTGAGCTACCTAGCACTCACATTTGAGAACATTATACCTTCTTTTTTTTCAGCCTGGAGAAACATCAGAACTTACCTTTCCCAGCACAAGATTAACAGGGAAAGGGAAAAGACATCCTCATCTATTAGAAAAGTCAAAATGTTGCTCTCATCCAACTTTTAGCAGCAGATAACAAGGAGAACAAACCTATCCATTCTGAAGGAAATCAAACCTGAGTGCTCACTAGAAGGACAGATCCTGAAGCTGAGGCTCCAATACTTTGGAAGAAAACTCCCTGGAAAAGACTCTGATGTTGGGAAAATGTGAAGGCAAGAGGAGAAGGGGATGACAGAGGATGAGATGGTTGGACAGTGTCATCGAAGCTACCAACATGAAGTTGACCTAACTCCGGGAGGCAGTAGAAGGCAGGAGGGCATGGCATGCTCTGGTCCATGGGGTCACGAAGAGTCGGACATGACTAAACGACTAAACAACAACAAAATAAGGAAAGCCTATAAATGTCTACTTATTAGTAACTGCCAATTAATTCAGTTAAGCTTCATTCTACCTAAATCTGTACAGGATTCCAGCCTATATTTCCAATACCATGGTCAGACTGGCAGCTTGTCAGAGAGATGTTGGCAAATCTTTGGGTCCAAGTCTTGAGTTCCAGGTGGCAAGTCCAAGTCTCAAGTCCCTATTAAAAAGCTTTCCCCCCCAAAAAAAAATAGGCAGGAGGTGAGAGGGTGTAGGTCTGAGGCTTATGAACCAGAGATCATAACTTGCTGTTGAAGCCTGAGCCAATCCCCGAACTTTACTGTTCCAGCCAATGACGAAACAAAAGTACAGTAAAAACACAGAACAGCCGTACAGTATATATTCTTCCTCCATGCCCAGCCCACCCTTGCGCTGAGTTATGGCCACTGTGTGGGGGGGGAGAAAACCTCTGGGCCTGCCTTCCCTTCCGTCACCTCTCCACCATCTCAAAAACCCTCCCTCCCCATTGCTACTTCCTCCTCTGCCATGTGTCTGCCTCTCCTGCAGGTATCCATTAAAAGAACAGGGACTCAAACTATAACTTGGAAAAATGGATCTGAGTCGCAAGTTGAGTCTGTGTCTTTGAAATAAAAAAACCATGTTGAATCCGAGCCGAGTTGCCGGTGCGACTTCAGTCAGACTTGACAGCTAATCGTGATTCCCCGTCCTTGCAGCTTGGTAATTTTAAATTCTGAACTTGAGAGTTAAATTCTGGGAGCCCTTCTCTAGGTAGCTCTGTGCCTTTTCTCAGACAAGTCATGTTGACTGGGGGATCTGAAGAGTTACAGTCCAAAAAGCAGTGCAGCCAACAGTCAACTATTTGTTCTACAAGTATCTTGCAAAGGAGTCTGACAAGGTTTTTTTTATGGCACGGCCACTCAAAAGTAAAATATCTAAAACTGTATTGACATGGATCAAGGTGTGGAATCATACTTGCTTTTACTGCTCTTTTACTTTTACTCCCAAAGGATATTTAAAGAAAAGTGGAGGGATGAGTCATCCTTTCTAGCACTAGCAACATTCTAGTCCTGTTTGAACACATTTACCTTACCTTTCAAACCAACTCTGACAAGTTTGCATGGGTTGGTTCTCACCAAGGTGATTCTTTTGTCTTTTTATATTTACCCTCCACCTGCATATATACATACCAAAGATCCTACAGTCAACAGAAAGCAAGTCAAATAACTGAAAAGGTGAGCTAATCATCTTTAAATAGAAATAACTGGCTTTAGATGAAACTTTATTAACAAAGCCTTCAACACCGCATTTTCTTGTCTTTCTCTGTAGGTCGGGGCAATAGAAACCATTTTCTTAGTTTGCTAATCTAGCAAGAGTCATGAGCATGCAGTTTCCACCTAAGGACAGCACTGTAAGTTATTCCATTTCATTAACTTCCATTTTGTACATGGCTTTGCATATTCCAAGAGTTTTTTGGTATTTCAGGCTTCAAAAAGGACCCGGGGTTGTGGTTTTTTTGTTTGTTTGTTTTTTTTTGTGTTTTTTTTTAGGCTTCAAAAAGGACCCATAAAATGTTATACACTTGTCAAGAAAATGATTTAACCTTCATTCAGGATGACTGGAAATGTAATATCCCTACAGCCACATTTTGTTTGCTTGTTCATTTAAATACAGTAATATGTTTCATGGCTCTCAGTGTTGCACAATTCACATCAAACTCAGCAAACAAGGCAATTATTCTACTACATTGTTACTTGAAGAACTGTAAACAGTGTCCTCAGATTTCAGTCACTTCCCATGGACATGTTGGCAAAAGAGAAGAAAAACGGGGGCAAGAAACAAAATATTGTACCACCTTAAAGTCTAGGAGTGCTATTTCAGTGTGAGTTGAAATAAAATTGTTAATTTTTAAAGTGCTACAGTATTTTGTAGTCTTTCTATTTTCTTCTTTGGCCGACATGCTGGAGATAGACTAATAGGGCTACTTCTTTAGAAATTCCCACAGGTTTTTTTCCCTGTTCAAAAAGCAGCTGGGACAAAAACTGCATCAATAAAACGATTGCATTTTGCCACCGGGGCACATTTTCGTTCCGGTGTAACATCCCATGATATGTTTGGCAGGCCACGGTCATGAGAAGCTGAAGTGATACTTGCGAGACACTGCAATTCTCCCCTGAGTTCAGAAATTCTCGAAGTCTGCACTCAATCTTCGTAACTTTTATTGTTCTTGTTTTGTGCCACTAAGTTGCCTCCGATTTACATTGACCTGATACTTGCGAGACACTGCAATTCTCCCCCGAGTTCAGAAATTCTCAAAGTCTGCACTCAATCTTCGTAACTGTTATTGTTCTTGTTTTCTGCCACCAAGTTGCCTCTGATTTACGGTGACCGTATGAATGAGCTATCTCTAAAATGTCCTGTCCTCAACAGCCCTGCTCAGCCCTTGTAAAGGCTGTGGCATTACTCTACTTGTAAGTATATACACATACAACGAAATTCACAGACACCCAGAGACCAGACACATGCACACACATAAAATTCCCCAAACACTCCCCACCCACTAAAAGTCCCCCACTAAAAATACAAACATCTACACCGCAGGCCAAGTAACACAGTCCAACTAATTATTCACTGCTGGTGGTCTTTAAGCTCATTATTAATTGCAATTATAGCTCTGGGATAAAAACTATTGAGAAAACATGTGGTCCGAGTCTTAATTGTTCTATATCTTCTGCCAGATGGTAACAGTTCAAAAAAGTTATAAGCAGGATGGGAATGAGCTATCTCTAAAATGTCCTGCCTCAACAGTCCTGCTCAGCACTTGTAAACTCAAGCCTGTGGCATTACTCTACTTCATCTCATGTTTGGTCTTCCTCTTTTCCTGCTGCCTTCCCCAGCATTACTGTCTTTTCCAGATAATCCTGCCTTCTCATGACATGCCCAAAGTAGGACAACCGCCATTTCAACATTTTTGCCTCCAGAGATAATTCAGGCTTGATTTGATCTAGGATACACTTGTTTGTCTTACTCCTGTGAAATTCAGGCTAAGAGACAAGTTGCCTTAGAGATTACCCACTGTAGTTTCATGGGACTCAGATTGTCCAAGTCCCACTGTAATATTCTAACCAACACTGCACTGTGGGTGTGGACCTAAATTTTAATAAGTGACTGCATTATTTTCTGATGTTGTTTTCAGAGCCAAACATGCTTCTGCTCCCAGAAAGATAACTTTATAGGAATCATTGCAAAGTAGCTAACAATGATCCCCAAGACATAGAGGCATTAGAGTTCAGTTCCTTATTTAAGCTCTTCCTAGATGATTTTAAAAGCTGGAAGTAAAAAATCAACTTGTTCCTTGAGTATTTATTTATTTATTTGACTTATATACCGCCCCATAGCGCTACAAGCACTCTCCGGGCGGTTTACAATTTTAATTATACAGGCTACACATTGCCTCCCCAGCAAGCTGGGTACTCATTTTACCGACCTCGGAAGGATGGAAGGCTGAGTCAACCTTGAGCCGGCTACCTGGGATTTGAACCCCAGGTCGTGAGCACAGTTTTAGCTGCAGTACAGCGTTTTAACCACTGCGCCACGAGGCTCTTAGTTTGCTCTGCAAGTAAAAAATCAACTTGTTCCTTGGGTAGTCCTTTACATTAGAAACCATAGTCTCACACTGGGAAACCAGTAAGAGTCTTCTAAGATAACATGCATATTGTGTAAAGATGTTTGATCAAATCCTATAGGAATAACCAGGACAATTTTTAAAAAAATCTCCCAAAGTCCTATGAAAATAACGGCGAGAAAAGGCCATTTTTTAAAAAAAAATTATTTTGGTTGTTTTTGTTTGTTTGTAATAAAAACAACCAAGGCTCCTTAAAAGGCTGATAAATTTACAGTATTTTGGGCTAGGCTTTTATAAACAGATCAGACACATAATATAGCCTCAGATCAAAACAAGGAGATGAAAATTAAGGAAATTAGCCACGGTGACCTTCATCCAACTACCACCGGTTATGTTATGAATAAACAAATACCCAAGAGGGAAGTAAACACTCAAAGAGGAACACCTGTTGTAGCGAAAATAATCATCCAGAGAGTAAGAAAAGCTTTTTGAACGAAGGCATTGTATTCCCAGATTCCACAGGAGCCAATTTCCAATTCATTCATGATAGTTTTGTGCTGGATCTGTTCTTGAACCGGAGAATTTTTCCTAAAAGTGCAATAGGAGGACCCTTAGCCAAGAAAGGCTGCTTATTAAGAGAGTATGCCTTGTTGAACACGGCCAACCATATTTTATAAAATTGCTCTCTTAAGACTGCAATTCTCTGCACTCCGGTGGGTGGGAGAACATCTGGCAATGAGAGCTTTATCACTTTGCACCCGCACCCTCGCTTTAGGCTGGAAGGCACCTTCCTTAATTTCATTTTTAATTAGCAATCTGGATGAATATACTGTACACGAGATTTACTGTAGCCTCTCATCGATTCCTCCCGTCCACCCCAAATAACGGGACCGCCTTGTGTGGCTTCCTTATCGCAAGGGAAAGTTTCCGGGAATTTTCCCTCCAGCAGAAGGCGGCCTGGCTTATACCATTATTGCCGGAACGGAGGGGTGAACGGAATGTTTATAATTTCTTCTATGCGACGTCGGGGGGGGGGAAGAAAAGACGCAGGGAACCTTAAAAGCTGTCCGTAAAGAGTCGTTCGGCTGCAAAAGGCCTCCCTATGGCCATTTTTTTCTTTTCTCCCGCCTTTTGTGGAAATGGTTTGCTCCGCACTTCCTGCCGGGTGGGGGAGAAGCCGGCGAGGTCAGGCCCGGGCAGCTGCGGCGGCGTCACTGCAAGCGGCGAAAACACGATGGCGTATTCTGGGCATCCTGGGGCCGGAGGCGGCTACTATCAGGGCGGGGTGAG